GTATGATTAATTGGAATTTAAAAGAAAAGTCCAATTTTAATTTCAGAAACAATTCTTTTCGAATGCAAGTACACTTAAAAATTAAATATAATTATTTCTGTTTACATATACATATGTACATACATATGTATATATGCAAAAAATATGGGCTACATGTTTTAATTAATGATAAAAAAATCATCATAGCTCGACAAATGACTATTTGAAATATAGAAAAAAATTAAGTTTAAATTTGCAAAAAACTTTTTCAATATTAAAAACACTTCAAAAACGTAATAGTAATTTTTATAAGAAATATTTTTCGTAAGCATATTTCAGAAAGTAACTTGGCTATTATTCAGTAAATTTTTAAATAGAAATCCTAAAAAATTTGAAAATTTATTTTGATTTTTTAAATTAATATCTTTTTATAAGAAATCGAAAAACTTTTTCAATATTAAAAAATACTACAAAAACTTAGGTAGATATAATAATTTTTATAAGGAAATTTTTTTCTAGTCATTTTTCAAAAATTCACGTGACTATTAACCATCTCAATATTCCGAAGCACTTTTGTACCATCCTTCGAATATTTGTATATGCAGAATAAGTTCACGTGTTCCCTGCATTTGCACTAAAGCACATTTAAGTGTAGTTCTTGCAGTTTAAAAATATTTATATGTTCTAATTAATTCTTTATTGTTCATTTTACCTTTCCTGATTTTATTTTAAAAGCCCAAAAAAGCTTACTAAACGCTAATTGTTTAAATGGCAGTTGTTGCAATTTTGCTTATCACTTTGTTGTGTTGTTATTGTCTCTCATTCCTGATAAGGTTTGGAGATATTCTCGCTGTAACGAGCTTCACACACACTCTCATACCTGAATGGTCTACTTTTTAATATTAGGGGGACTGAAAACTCTGATTGACAATGTTAAATTTAGAGTATATATTTGGTAAATAAATTTTTGTTTCAGTGGAAAAGAACATTTTAACGAAGACGATACAAAATATTCTTAGGAATTGTACTTTTATTTTCTGCTTGCAAATTCGAAAAAAAAAAAATTGTTCCAAAGTAATATATGTATGTGTGTATGGTATGTATATCTTTAGCATTATATATTTTTTTAAGTGTATGAGCTTGTGAAGGGTGGTATGTACATGTGTTCGTGCAATTGTTATTATTTAATTTCAGCTGTGTTTGGCCTACAAATATTGTAATTTTTGCCCTAGTTCGTTTTCTACATTTCAATTTAAATGGAAAAATGTTAAATAAACGAAATGAAGCGTAAAAAATGTGTGCTCCGTTAAAATAGCTGGCTTTAAAATAAATAACACATACAAATGCATAAGGTATTTTTTTTAAATGTTTAAAAAATATTTTTTTTCACATTTTTATAGACTTAAGCAACTTTTATACCCTAAACAGAGTCCACACATCCTTTTCTCTGAAATACGCTGTTCATTTGTCGGAATCGCCGATATCGGATCACTATAGCATATAGTCGTCATATAAACTGACCGATCAAAATCCAGCCCTTGTATGGAAAACTTTTTTATTTGACAAGATATCTTCAATAAATTTAGGATGGATAATTTTTGTATTTGTGAAGGTTATTAAATGCAGTTTCAGTGCAACCGAAGTAAATATTTTTCTTTTTTTTTGGCTTTTTATAAATCAATTACTTATATGGTAAATGGTTTCAGCTTAGCTTTTAAGTTGAAGTAACAAGTAAATGCCTATATAAGTATTATTATTGACACTTTTTAATATTTCTGCTATTTTTAAATAGCTTAGGCATCTGTTTGGCTTCTGCAAATGCAATAACAAACCTTACATGGCAAGTCTGTATGTATATGGTTGCGTATTTATTGATATTAATAATACCATCGCGGCGCTTACCTGTCAATGTACCATACAATATGCGAAGACTGCAATTTTGCTTAATATCTTTATGTGTTTTCAATCACAATGCAGTCAGTTAGCAGACAATTTGCATCGTCAGCAATCAATATAACACATGTGCCACATATACAAATGGCTCCAAATTTGCGTGCGCAAAAGTCTATGTTCTTTGGAAAATTTATGAAATTTTCATTATCAAATTTACCGACTTTTTCAATTTTTATTTACCAATAACTAATGTTATATTTTTTTTTTTAAGTTAAAAGCCAAATTTTCAAATTTTGATTCAAAGTTAAAGTTATTAGTCCAAAATTCACTATTACACTACGAGAGCAACAGCGCTCATCCGGCAACAAAGTGCAACTGAAACTTTTCAAACTTATTAAAACACAACAGCTTACTAGATGGCTCAAGTCGGTATGTAGCAATGTGAATTGCAGACTACGATTGTTGATTGTATAGAAAAAACTACAAAAACAACTGTAACAAAAATGGTGGAAAACAGAACTGTTGTAAGTCATGGCAAAATACAACAACAACGTAAAATTAAACATAATTAAAAAATGAAAATGTCAAGAAAACACAACTGAAAATTCACGCACGCACACAAACACCCTACCACAAGTATGCAATAGTATTTAAAATAGGTAAAATAGCAGAAAAAGTCAAAAGTTTGTTAGCACTTAGGGTAGAGTAACGCTCGAAAAAAGCCTCGAAGCGTTGGACAAACATGATGCATACGATGTATGTGTGTATGAAAGTAAAAAAATAAAGAAAGCAAAGACGATAAAAGATATTAAAACAAACCTGCAACTTGATAATTATACTTATGGCAGTCGTAGTTACACTAACTACCTAGTATCGAAGTGCCCTCTTTTCAACCAATCTGCCTCTTGACTACCTATCTGTGTAATTTGTATAGTCTGACTGTCTGATTTAGCATCAACCGTTGCGGCTTGTGATCCAATAAGTGAATGCGCTACAAGTCAAATGAGATGCACATCAACTAACGTTTTTATACATAGATATATAAATGTTCATACATACATACATATATGCAAGCGCTAATATCTAGGCATAACGGCTAATTGAAATCCTTTCATTATTATAATGAGATATGCAAAATTTGTTTGTTAATATTTAAAGCCACGATAGCCGCTCAAAAAAGTTAAAAGAAAAATAAATAATAATAATTTTTATTACCATAAATATTAGAAAATTAGGACATAAATTAATAATATAAAAATAATCGCATAATTACTTATATGGTAAGGATAATATTTTTCTCAATTAAAATGCTTTTTTATTTTACTCTTCTTTTATTTTTATTATTATCGTTTCTACGGCGAGTTCGTCGTACACCAAACCGTGTGTTTTCTTGCGTAACGGTATTTTAACACTCGTTCGTTGGTAATTATTGCATTTATTTGGCCATTATTGTATGTACATATGTTTGTATATTTGTAATCAAAAATATATTTAACAAAATTATTTGCGACTATAAATAATATCAAAATAGTAAATTAATTTTTTATTACAACGATCATTTTTTTATTACAACGACCATTTTTTATTATATTTATATATTTATTTTAAATACAATCATATATCCAATTTTCGTTATCCACTCATCTGAACACGCTCAACGAAGCATAAACAACTGTTTGCGTTGAACATACCGCATCGCTGTGACGGTGCACATTTGTAGCTGTCAAAGTCTGGTGTGACATTTGTAAATTTTGCTGTGTTGTGTTCGTACATTTTTCTTGCGAAATATAGCCGGAATATTTAACTCATTCAAAAACCCGTATTACTACATATTTCAATAGTAAGGTAAATAAAAATAAGATTAAGGTTTTCGTCAAACAATATTTTAAGATATTTGTTTTATCGTCAGCATGGACCGTTTATTACGTTTGGGTGGTGCAATGCCACAAGCTCCACCACCAACAGATGCTCCTGTTGTGGATACCGCCGAACAAGTATATATCTCCTCGCTGGCGTTATTAAAAATGTTAAAACATGGTCGTGCTGGCGTACCCATGGAAGTGATGGGTTTGATGTTGGGCGAATTCGTCGACGATTACACAGTACAAGTAATCGATGTGTTTGCTATGCCACAAACTGGTACTGGCGTCTCAGTTGAAGCTGTCGATCCAGTGTTTCAAGCAAAAATGTTGGACATGTTAAAACAAACTGGTCGCCCAGAAATGGTGGTAGGCTGGTACCATTCACATCCTGGTTTTGGCTGTTGGTTATCCGGTGTGGATATTAACACACAACAGTCCTTTGAAGCTTTATCAGAGCGCGCAGTTGCCGTTGTCGTCGATCCCATACAATCGGTGAAGGGTAAAGTAGTTATTGATGCCTTCCGTCTTATCAACCCGAATATGCTTGTACTGGGCCAAGAGCCGCGTCAGACAACCTCAAATTTAGGACATCTGCAAAAACCCTCAGTTCAGGCATTAATTCATGGTCTGAATCGGCATTACTACTCAATTAGTATTAATTATCGTAAAAATGAGTTGGAACAAAAGATGTTGTTGAATTTGCACAAGAAATCATGGAAGGATGGACTCACATTAGCGGATTACAATGAACATTGTTCTATCAATGAAAGTACCGTGCAGGAAATGCTCGAATTAGCCAAAAACTATAATAAGGTAATTAATCAATTAAAATTCCCCAAATTCTTAAATATTTTAATATATATATATTTTTCTATTTGTTCACTTTTAGTCGCTCGAAGACGAAGAAAAAATGACACCAGAGCAATTGGCAATCAAAAATGTTGGTAAACAAGATCCTAAACGGCATTTGGAAGAGAAAGTCGACAAAGTTATGCAAAACAACATTGTGCAATGCCTTGGCGCAATGCTTGATTCGATTGTATTTAAGTGAGCTAAAATTTTTCCTGTTGCATTTGACTTGAATTTTCAAAACCGCATATACAGAACACTCAAACTGAGCAACACGCTTCAGTTTACTACGCATTAATGTATTTTTAAAAATAACATAATAAATGAAATAAAATATAGAAATAATAAATACTTTTGTACTTTACTACAGAAACATATCATTTAAACGCTTTAGGTTTGCAAAAAATTAATGTTGTTATTGTAGCCTAGTGAGAACTTTCCTGAAGTAATTTGGAGGAGTGCTGTTGAGTTGACAGTCTTTGTCCGGCAATCAGATTTCGTTCTGTTTACTTAGACCGGACTGTCGTGGGAATGGAGTTATAAGTATAATTGTATGCGAACTGTTCTAATTTACAGTTAGCAGCCAGTTCTGACCTGAGTATAAATTTTATAATGAAAAGCAAGAGCCTCAATTTCCAAATTGGTATCAATACAGTTATATACCAAAAAAAAAAAAAAAAAGCTGAGGCAAACACCTTGAAATCTATAGAGGAATGCAATAAAAATAATACTCACAAAGTTATTGCTACGAAGTCAACCAAACAAATTTCGTAAAAGAAACCCATTTACATTTAGCACTTATTAACATCAGCACACTTATCTCACTTCTCTGGTTTTATTTAAAAATAACTTTACTCATTAATTTTTTGTATTTTATTTTTGGCACTTGTTAAGAAAGTTATTAAATTTTGATGAACACTTCTCACAAAAAATATAAACAACTATCAGTTTCCGGCAGCTTTACATTTCGCATGCATGAATTTGAAACTTGGCAGCACTGAACGACAAAATGAATGCCATACGCACACTCGTTAACATTTTCTCATTTGAAAATTGAACGCCATAGTTTTGCATACAAAATTGTTAAAATCAAATTGTTCATCTTATAAATGAAAAATAGTGCAAGTTGCGTAGATTTTGTAATAATAACAGGTTTATTAATGATTTCTCATACAATGATTTGATATTGATTGCATTTCAAATATGTATTTGAAGTTTACTCTCAACCATAGTTGGTATATTTCCTTAAAATATGGCCCATACCAGCAGGATTATCAGCAGGCACCATATGTCCAGCGCGATTGATCCAGAACATAGTGAAATTGCCAGCGCTTTTCTCATAACCCTCCAAAATGCGATTAACACTGATGCCAACGCGTGGTGCCGCCTCGTACGAAGTCTTATTATTCCATTGCATCTTCTCAATCCAGTTAACTGTGCCTGGAGTAGCACAAATCAAGTCCAATTGCCCGGAGTAGACACCTACCTGCAGTGTTGTGTTATTGAGAAGTTCTTCGACTAAGCGTATAAGGGAAGAAATAATTTTAAGCGAATCTCTTTTTTAAATTAACTTAGTACATTTTTACCGATATGTATCACTGGCTTCATGAAGTCTGTATTCAATCTGGCGAAAGTGACATCGCTTTGGGAACCCCATCTTACCTTAGACGATATATTGAGAGCTTGATGTACGGGGCCGCGCATTAAATCTTGCAAGATTTGATCGCGATCTTCATCGATATCTATATCATATTGTACCATAGTGCGATACATTAAATCTATAAACGTAGATGTTGTTGTTATTTACAGGTGAATATATACAAATATAGTACATAGAGTACACATGCACCCAGATGTAATTACATACCCTTAATATTGTTACTCCTCAATAATATGTTGGCATAAGCACCACCTCTGGTTGGTGTCTCGATATTGTAAAAGTCCACACCCTTAGACTCACGCAATAAAACAGATTGTGTAGCACCCCATTGGTTGGTGGCTTGCGTCCATTTTCCTTTATTGATCAAATCTTCAGTTCTGTTGGCAGCAGCGGCAATTTTTGCATGACCACCTTGATCCACAACGCCCTGTTGAAAAAATTGTTAAATAATATAAACATAAATATATATATATATATATATATATAAGAGCATTTAATTACCATTTGCAGCAACAATGGCGCCCAAGCCAAAACGGAATCAATCGGTGACGTCCATGGATCACCCAATGCCACCGAGGTCAAATTGCTGCGCAACTCACCACGTTGTATAGCATAATACAGTTCCAAAGCGAATTCTGGTGCCATTTTACCACCGTAACTCTCACAGAATATGTGCAAAGGCACACTTTCGAATTCGGGATGTTGTTTGTAGAAACCTTTCATCAAACGTACCAAGTCCAAAGCAATCTCATTATTATTTTTCGTTAAGTAAAGCACGCTATCAACATAACTGTAACCGCTACCAACGGGATTGTCAATGAAGAGCACATTCATATCCTTAACCCACGTGAAATTACGGTAATTGCCATACAAATCGAGGGGACCCAACTCTTCGAAATTTCCATAACCAGTCGACGAAGCACCGGGACCACCTTGCAACCAAATTGCCAACGGACGTTCAGTGTATTTGCTCACATTAGCTGTGGTGTAGTAAAGCCAATAAAACATATGGGCGCCAGTGCGCACATCGACATAACCCCAATCCTGTTCACCGGGGCCATAGCCGGTTTTGGCTAGATGACAAAAGCAGGGGGGAAATGTATGAATAGAGGAAAATAAGCGATTACGTGAAATGACAGTCACGTTTATATGTATGCATATATGAATATGTGTTTAATGGTGTCTTTTAAAGGGTATTAGTTGGTATTCTTAATTCGTTAGACCGAGACATTTCCTTTGAGTTAATAACTTTAAAAGGCGAGAGAAACCCCACCATTTATTTCAGTTTGCCAAATATGACAACTTTAATAATTTTAATACCTAGAAAATTCTAGTATAAGAAAATTTATTGCAGGCCTAAGGAATCGAATAGTATTAAATTTTACAAACAAAAGACAAGCAATTATAATAAATAAAAATTCTCTGGAAGTATTGAGATAAGTTCTATTGAATTAATTAAGACAACTATAAAACTACTGAAGGCTTGTCGTAAATATATCAGTATCATTGTCATCAAATTTATATTTTATCAAAGCAAATGAGGTAATAAATATTTGTATTTGTAGTCAATGACAGGCGCAATGACAACGCTTATCAATATAAATATATCTTAGTAAACAAGGGCACTATAAATTTGGGTATGAATCTGTCAATTTATAAATAATATTTATCCTGCACTAAATTATTACCGAATCAGTTTGAGGTATTAACGGCTTGCGGTTGTCATTTCAAAAATTATTTATTATACCAAATTTAATTCAGCCCTCGAAAATAATATTATGATGGGAAATTACGCCAGAAAGACCATAAAATATTGATCAAATCATATTTTAATGATTTTTTCGGCATTACTAAGTTTTTGGCATAGGAAGCTAAAATTTTTGGCTTTTTATCACATAAGTTTACCGATATCTTTTTACTCTCAAAATAAGAATTGTTTACATAGAAATTAAGCAAATAATGAAAAAAAAAATTAATTAAGTTATCTCAGCAATGCATTACAGTTATTTTGTACTGGAGAATGAAGCGCGGACAAATTCGCGATTGAAAATAAATAAAAGTACGGTAAAAAATATTTTTTTATAAAAAAAACTATTTAAAAAAATTGAACGAATTTTTAAAAACATTTTAGTAGTTCAATGAAATTTAATCGAAATATTTTATACAACATGAACTCTCTTGAATCAATTAAATTATATACATACATATGTACATATGTACATACATACATACCTACATATATATGTTTGTATTATTTACTTACCTGTTGTGGCTGTAACACAAATTGCCAACAGAATTGCTGTGCAGATTAATTCGACCCGCATTTTAAGACAACAAAAATTAAAACACTAAACACTAAAAAAGTAAAACCACGAATAAAATAAAAGCGAAAATGGGTCAAACGCAACGGCAGTACGTTTTATCTAAGATGTTACTTGTTTTTTACAGACTTCTTTACTCAGCTCGAAGTCGCGTGCGACGAGAAAGTGTTCGAATTACCTTCTGCCCGGATAGCGGTGTTGATCAACCCTTTTATTGGAAAATATGCTAGATAGCTTCTTATCGGCCACAACAACACGCGTGACATAATAGAGAGCAGTATACATAAATTAATAGAGGGATTTTTTAAAATATGTTAACTAATTATATACAATTGTAGGACTATCAAATAGCAAATAAAATGTCAAGTGCTTACTTACATTAGAGCGGGTGGATTTACAGCAAGTTAAAAAAAAAAGGAAAACCCGCTATGCAGGAAATGTTCTGCGGATCTTTTTGAACGTTTTTACCCAAGTAACTGTGGATCTAAAAGTGGTTTCGAGCTCGCAATTTTTATGTTTTTTAGGGATCGTAAAAATTTGTGTTTGTAAGTTTTTAATAAACCCCAATGAAATTTAAGACGCATGTGGATATTGATATTCAATCGGTCATTTATCGGAATCGATCAGATCGGACAGCAATATCACATATCTCCTTCTTCTTCTTCTTGATTGGCGTAGACACCGCTTACGCGATTATAGCCGAGTTAACAACAGCGCGCCAGTCGTTTCTTCTTTTCGCTACGTGGCGCCAATTAGATATTCCAAGTGAAGCCAGGTCCTTCTCCACTTGGTCCTTCCAACGGAGTGGAGGTCTTTCTCTTCCTCTGCTTCCCCCGGCGGGTACTGCGTCGAATACTTTCAGAGCTGGAGTGTTTTCGTCCATCCGGACAACATGACCTAGCCAACGTAGCCGCTGTCTTTTAATTCGCTGAACTATGTCAATGTCGTCGTATATCTCGTACAGCTCATCGTTCCATCGAATGCGATATTCGCCGTGGCTAACGCGCAAAGGACAATAAATCTTTCGCAGAACTTTTCTCTCGAAAACTCGCAACGTCGACTCATCTGTTGTTGACATCGTCCAAACCTCTGCACCATATAGCAGGACGGGTATTATGAGTCACTTATAGAGTTTGGTTTTTGTTTGTCGAGAGAGGACTTTGCTTCTCAATTGCCTACTCAGTCCGAAGTAGTACCTGTTGGCAAGAGTTATCCTGCGTTGTATTTCTAGGCTGACATTGTTGGTGGTATATATATCTCCTATACAACCCTGTCTCTTATACACATCTGACATTGTTGGTGGTATATATATCTCCTATACAACCGATTATTCAGATTTTTTAAACTTCTCCTTAAAAATCATTGGTTCGAAACCGGTTTTAGAAATTTTCATCGCCATAGAGTTATTTGTAAATTAAATTCTTTCTAATAAATACTTTCTACTCAAACAAGAATGTGAAATAGCAAACTTCGAACCATTGTATAAACCGTTTGCTGTCTTATCGTTTAAAAGATAGCATCAATAACGGTTCTTATTGAAAGAAAACTAATAAAAAAATGTTTTGCGAATCTGCAACTGACTTACACAAAGTGTGTAAAATTAATTAATTTCAAAATAAAAATGTTATTAAAAAATAGTAAAAATTTATGAACATATTTTATAAAAATTAAGTCAAATTCAAAATTAATAAAAATTTTAAACATGGAAAGCAATTTATATAACAAAAACATCAAACGCTGATTTTCCATATGCCAGCATATAACGCTCAAATATATTATAATTAATTATAAAAATTTCAAATACGGATCAATCCTTCTTGTGTACAGTATTTTATAAGCAACTGTTCCCACTTACATCAAATTCAATTGTGAATAGGTTTCTCGTAATGAAAAAGCATCATCGTTTCGTAAACAAGTGGTAGCTTTGTGCGGCTAATTGGTTAAAGAAAAACTAACAAATTTTCACAGGTGCAGTCATAAAACTACAACTAGCCAAAATCAAAATTATTATTGTCTGGCTTCCAAGTGCAGCTGTAGATAAGAATTTCTGATACCATGGCTACGGTACGCATACCGAAACAAAAAGTGATACTTTGTGGCGATTATGGTGTGGGAAAAAGTTCACTATTTCGTCGCTTCACCAACAACACATTTGGTTTGTAGGCATAATTGTAATACGATGGAAAGCAAAATAAATACTTATAATTATCTTTGGCACACAAACACAATGATTTTCCCCCATTTATAACAACAGTAACAGACACAGATCGCAAATCAACATTAGGCTTGGATCATATAGACCGTGACTATACTGTCGGTGATAAACAAATCAAGGTAAGCCACTTTGTATTATACAAAATAAGAATACACTTTTATTGTTTTTTTTTTTATGTAAAACAAGCTACAATTATGGGATACCGGCGGTATGGAACGTGTTGCATCTGTTACATCTTCTTATTACAAATTTGCTGAGGGTGCCATACTCGTTTTCGCCATGGATAATGCCGCCTCATTTCATTCCTTGTCACAACATTTACTAGATATTGTAACGTACGCTGAAAACGCTAAAATATTCATTTGTGGCAATAAAAGTGATTTGGCCGAGCGTGAACCACAAGTGAGCGATGCTGAAGTAGAAGCATTTTGTGAACAGTGCCACAGTTTAATTAGTGCTACTTACAAGACATCCTGCAAATCATCGGATGGCGTTGAGGAAATGTTTCGTGATATATCTCGTATTCTTGTGGATGCTAATCGCTCTAAAATGGAACTGCAGGCATTGGAACAGCACAGCTTCAAAATTGACTCAGCTGCCGAAGCTGATACGAATGAAGAAAGTTCGCAATGCATTTGCTAGCAAATGGGGAACGTGGAGTTCGGTTAAAGAGAAATAGGGACGAACTTCATATAACGAATAGAAAGTGGTGTTAGAAGTACAATGCGCTTCTATATATTTATTTATTTATTATTTGATGTTAAAACGTATTTATGTTAATTATATCAAAACAGCATGTATGTGTTTACGAATATTTCTATTTTTACAGTTTGTAATAAGCTATATTTTGTGTCACAGAAAACTCACAAACAACAACAACTTGTAATGTCACAAAACAAAACACAAATTGCATTTATGTTAGCTAAAATTTTGGTTGTAATCCGTCCAACATTCTTGGAGCTTTCATGATTTTAGAAAAAAAATTAACACCTGAGAAGTTTAAAGGGGAAAGGATCAGAAGCCAAGTCAAACAAAAAACATTAAATTGCGTGTCGAACTAAACTGGTTCAGAACAAGGATACTGTTTTTATACAAAAGTAACATTTATATCGATAAAATCAACTTTCAGAAAAATACATACTATTGGTTCTTTTAAAATAAGAACCTCATTTATCTCAAATACTCATAGCAATAAAAACTAAATGTAGTCTCAGTTTAGGTTTGAATTCAATAAAAAATCAGATATAAAATTGTGTTACAACGACATGATAATTTAATTTAATAACACCATTGTTTTTATTTTAAAGTTTTACGATTTTTCGTTTGAAAATTATACTTTTTACACTTCAACAAGATATAAATTATCATAAACCGAAAGGAATGTATAACAAAGAAGTCGAATGCAGAAATAAATACATAAAATATTGTCTAAAGTAATATAACAAATAAAATAATTCCTTAATAAATTTATTAAGCGGTAGGGGCACTAGATGAAAATGTCAAGTAGAGACTTACACCTACAGCGACCACAAAACACACCCCAACTACATATAATACAGCCTTTTCTCGCAATGCACGTAACATCATGGAGTTTAGTGTTCTTGAAGCTCTTCCCAAATCTGCATTAGTTTCTCTCAAACGTGAACGTGCACCCTGCAAAACTTCACGTTGATGACTTAAGTCATTAAGCACATTCGCTCCCAAAGCTTCTGTCTCAAGCGCTACGCGATATCCGTCAGCCAAACGATTTCCCGTACGTTCTATACGCTCCGAATTTTCTAATAGGCGTTGTCGCTGATCATTTCCAATAGATACATCATCATAATAATCGCCGTCTCCTCCGCCTAGTTCTAAAACTGTCATATGTTGCTTTTGTTGAGCTTCTTTAGAACTACGATAATCATTTTGAAGCCTTTTCAATTCTACCTGTGCACAACTGACCTTATTTTGGAAACTTGGCCGTAATGTTACGTCTATGTCGCGAATTTCTAAAGTCATTTGTTCTAACAGTTCATGTGCTTCAGCAAGACTTCCATCTATTTTAGAGCTAAGATCTCGTCTTTCCACTATAAGGAATAAGCAATCGCATTTAATTCTTTAGGATTTATTTACAAAATTCTTACCCCCTTTCAACTGCTTAAGTTGAGCAATTTCAGATGTGATTTCCGCTATTAACACAGCATATTGTTGCTCATATTGTTCAAGTAAAATCATATTGAAATTCTGTTTTGATTTAACAATATGTTTCCCCAATATATTAATCCAAAAAATAATGGACTTAAAGCTGTATATTGAAGTAAAATTGTTACAATGAAAAACAGCTGATCAAATTTGTCAATACACAAAAAGAAAGAAAGAAATTTTAAGCTATTGTGAATAGTACATAAAAGTCATCGGTTTATGCCAAAATTTATCCTATTCGCTCACTTTTCGTTCTTTCATTTGCCACACGTGTTTACAATTTCTTGCAGTGCGTATTTTTAATATTCTGCAGGAAATATCTGTCTTTAATACATTAAAATGTCGGACAAGTAAGTAAATAAAAACGTTTCTTCATGGAAACTATAATAATTGAGCTATTTTCATCAATTTGTAGATACGCAGTGCCCAATAAGTTACCAGGCAAAACCGTGTCGGTGCTAGCGCATCGTAAACGCCGCATTCTTCAAGATAAAGCAACACTAGAACAGAAGAAAGCTTTGAAAACTAAGAGGGTTGCAGGAGCGAAGAGACATCACAAATTCCGACGTCCAGAATCATTTGTTATGAATTATCTTAAAGCAGAGCGTACAGCAAAACGTATCAAGCAAACTATGCGACGCAACAACATAGTTGATTTCAAAGAACCTGAGAAGACAAATGAAAAACTGCTATTGGTTATGAGACACGCAGGGTAAATAAAAAGTTATTTCGTTTAATATAGAGATATAGTAACATATTTCCATTAACAGCAAAAAGGTTTTCGACGAGACAACAAATAAAATTTTAAATACGTTGTATTTGTCAACTCGTCACAATGCTGTATTTCTACGCAACGATAAGGAAACCCAAGTATTGCTCAAAGTTATAGAACCTTTTGTAGTCTATGGATATCCAACACTAAGCACAATACGTGAATTGCTATTTAAGAGAGGTTTTGCGCGTGTCAATGGAAGAAAAACGCCCATACAATCTAACGTTATGGTAGAAGAACATCTTGGAGATAAAGGAATAATTTGTTTGGAAGATATAATTCATGAAATTTATACAGTAGGGCCAAACTTCGATGCTGTGAAATTGTTCCTCTGCAGTTTTATGGTAGGTTAAACAAAATTATATTTCTTGTACGATAAATATAATATTAATAATAATTTATAATAGCTTTCCAGTCCCCGAGATGGATGGAAGAACAAAGTTTCCGTGCCTTACAAAAGAGGAGGCGAGTACGGCGATCGAGGTGATGCGATAAATGATCTAATAATGCGTTGTTTGTAAATGTGTTATTATAGTTAAGTAGTTGCATACTTTTTTTTTTTATTTTACTTTTGAAAAATAAAATTGTAGCATAAGATGAGTGAATATCAATAAATGGTGTATTTATTATTTTAACGTTGAAATCTTACTGCACTCAACAAAATTTGCTCAAGTAGACAATTGAGTGGTAATAGAAAATTATTTCATAAAAATATTCTCTTCAAAAGATATTTCCTTCTGTGCTGCGTAGACAATATTTTATAGGAACAGAAACAAAACAAAAGAAAAAAATTAGGAGAAAAATATATTTTCATAATGTCTAGCAGAAATGATTCGCTCGTCGACGAAGAAATCGACTACCAAACAGTTTCAACCGGTCATTCCATTAGTATTGAACGACCAGAGCGTCTACATGAATGGCTTAAAGCGGAAGATATTGAATATATAAGGCACAAATTCCTCTCTCATCCATTACAAAAACTAAACCTAAAAGAACTGCGAGAAGTTTTTGACAATCTCAATATAAAATTCACCGACATCGAATATAACCGTCTCTTCCTCAAAATCAACCAGAATCGTGACTTTCTGTGCGATTGGAATGAAGTCATTTCATATTTGATATTTGGCTTTCAAGAAGACGACCCCAGCACCCAGAAAGAAGCGCTCATATTACCAATATCGACAGCACCAATAGTAAAGAAGTCAGAGCATCGTTCACCAATTTGTTCCATTAGTTTATTGCGGGTGCAATCCGATGATATTGATGAGGAAGATATTGGAAAGCAACTGAATGGAGCGCTGGAAGATTCCCCTGAGGCGTGCGGCATGTGGATAACAGCCAGCCGTGAGGGACAAGTACGTTTTTGGTCCAATTTGCTTGAACCGCTACGTACAGGTTTCTCCCATAGTAGTAAGTTTGCTAAAGCGTAAGAATGTTTACCGAAAAAATACGATAGCACCTTAAGAAAGCATATGAATGCAGAGGAGTAGTCCTTTCCACTTTGTTATTCAATATTTTAATCTTCATTTCATTTTAAAATTTTCAAGTCAATCTCAAAATGGCTACATGGATACTCCAAGTACAAGCGCTCTCCGACGTCAGTATCGTTTGTACCTCTTCCACTGAACGCGAACTACGTTTTCACGAAACAGTAGCCTCGACCTTTACTCTGCGCATTGTGATTCGGAGTTTACCGTTTGCTGTCTGCTGCATGTCCTACAGTTTTCATCCGAAAGGGAAGACTAATTCGCGACTGGTACTCGGAGATTTCGGTGGAAATGTAAGAATTCTGGAATTCACACCATTTCTACGTGGACCATTTCAAAGTAAACCCGGCGCCGCACTCATTGAGCTCTTCTGGTCCGACGTTCTAAAAGTGAGTTCCGTTTTCCTAGCGCATACATATATTAATTTATGTCACTTGTTCCGATAAATAGGGTAAACTACCTTTAATGAGCGTTCGTGAATATCCCAATATCCACAGTGAGCTTATACAGCATCTCTACTTTTCGATTCGCATGAATTCACTGTTCGTGGCTGCCGAATATCGCAATGTGAAGAAGTATCGTGCACGCTGTCCGGGTTTAATTATAGCTTCCGGCGAAGATAAAACCTACTTCCGCATACCAATGGTAAGTATCTTTTTTCCTTTAATATTAGCTATATTGCAGTACTGTAATCATTTAGGGCGTTTCAACATTTTTTGTCGCTGAAAAAAATAACATCGTTGTCACTGGTGGACCTGATACCTTTGTGCGTGTCTGGGATGTGTACATTTCAAGTAAGCCATCTGGTATTCTGACCGGCCATAATGGCGGTATTGTTTATATCTTCGTGCAAGCCGAAGAGAAGAAAATTTATAGCGTCGATTATCATAAAATTATAAAAATCTGGCACATGACCGAATACACGTTGCTGCAGACCTTTGGCGATTTGGTACGCATTTTGGCTTCGGAAACCGATTTGAGTTATTTGTATCATCCGTTGTCACGTGATCTGCTCGTTGGTGGTCGTAAGCTGATCAGTATAAAATGTTGCGCACGCATTCGTGTTGATCTTACCGATGGTAATACACATGCCGCACCCGTCTCCGTAGTACTGTATAATGGACTATTTCGCAATGTGGTCACTTGTGGCTTGGATAGTTATATAATAGTATGGGATCCATGGACCGGACGTCGTAAAATTATTATGAAGAGCTGTCACACGAAAATGGAATATGGCGAAACAATTGACATTGAAATTACGGCAGCATGTTTTGATCCCTTGGAACAATTTCTACTGACCGGTGCTCGTGATGGTTCCTTGAAAATATGGAATTACAATAACGCAGTTTGCATGCGTAATATGAGCATAAAACCGGAGCATGAAGTCACGGCCGTTATTTGGGTCGTTGAGAGGTGAGTAAAATAAAGAGCTAACGCTTAAAGCACAGCCTTGAACACTAAAAGTGGAGAAGACACAACAAAGCGTTATCTCTTCTATATGATCTTCGTTAAAATCATATTCATTTATTCAATAGGATATTAGCAGTTGGATGGGATCAACAAGTTACGGAGTTTAATGATGTTGAAGGGCGAGAATATGGTGATCCAAAGAAATGGACGAAATTCCATAATGACGATATCACTTGTGCGGATGTAAAGTTAGGTGAAGGTGTCGTAACCGCCACTTACTCCGGCGAGTTAATATTTTGGAAGCTTGAAACCGGTCAACCATATCGTAGATATAGTGTAGCAGATCCTACGCGTTTCATCGAGGTACAACGTGACGCAATCCTATTTTTTTAAATATATTTAAAAGCAATTTCTTTTTCGCAAATCTATGATTAGCTAAAACACAGAGATTCCGAGGCTGATGGATCCGGTAGACGTGTCTCACAACACTTGAGCATTTCTCGTTATGTGCGCAAATCCATATCGGATAACATACTGAAGATCGAAACGCAATTGAACAAGAGACCCACTTCATTTGAGCGCACCTTTTCCGATGCTGATATTCGTGATGATTTGGCATATGCAGTGTCGTTGCGTTCTACCAGACCCGTTTCCGTGCAGGCTGTCCTCTTTCTACAGACGCGTCCAATGACTAAGGAGCATGGTGCGTTTATAGAACGTAGACAAATCTTTAACGGTCATATGTGTATGTTTGTGTGTGCTTTTAAATTTTTAGGTAGCATTTTCGTCGCCCTCGACACGGGCGTGATTCAGGTGTATTCGCATCATCAACGCGGCGGTTACCTCAAAGAGTTCAATTCGAGTCATCGCACTGGGGACTGTGTTCTAACAATGGCAACAGATCGGAAGAATCGTTATCTTTTTACGGGCACGGCGTTTGGTTATATTAAGATTTGGCATGTTCTCAACTATTGGTAAGCGAAGCGTCTATTTCTTTTATTAATGTAGGTTTGAACTATATGTATAGGTATATATTTTTGAGATATCACTTCCTCTTTGAATCACATATTAATTATAATATATATATTGTCATACTATGTATATTAGCGCAAGAACGAATTTTCAGATTTTTTGCTTTTGTAATTCATCATTTTATAAAAAAAATCTGAAGTTAACATTAAACCACGGAATATTGTTCGGGAGGACGTAATTCGAAGGACCGAACAACGCAAGGGTAGCATTAGGTGTGTGAAAATTGTTCAATCATTTGCATGTCAGGTCTATAATGGGAAGTTCTTGTGAATAGTGATGGTTTCCTTAAGCCACATTGTAAGAAGATCCATAAGATACAGCTGCCACGACAACGAAATATTTATGTTTCTTGATTTTCATTGTCATATTAGGTCTGCCTTTCCATTTGAGTACATAGATTGAAGAAATTTCCTTAATCAATGTCCTCATTGGCTTCGCCGAAAAATTAGATGCTTCAAGCGCTTTTCATCAGCACCAGAAGATTAATAGGTCTTTGACATAAGACCAGCTGTCCATCCGATTTGAAGATATAAGACTAAATTTCCTCAAATTCTGAAGGTACCTTCACCACCTAGTGATGGTAAAAGAATGTGCGGTTCTCTAAAAGGAAGCATTCTATGTGTGGAAAACACCTTGTGAACAGAACTTCCAAATAGTGGAAATGATGGGAAGAATGATGTTAACAGAACAGTGATACGGATAGCAATTACGAAATAGATTAATAGAGTAAATAGACATGATCTTCTTACAATAATTTGCACAGTTTTACTTACATACGTACATATGCACATCAGGAAAAAATCAATGAAAATATTTTATGAATTACCGCACACAAGACTTAACTACTTAAGCAAACTTTCGTGGGAGTCAACAAGACAAGCAATCATAGAGGAAAATATTCATGCATAAATAGGAAGATTTATAGAAGTAAATTGCATATCATTTGGTAAACTTTGGTTTGCGTGTTCCATTAAACAAGAAGTTAGTTCACTGCACTGAAGGAATTTAGTAAATGGCGAACGGGCGTACCATTAAATAAATGTAATATTCAAATTTTTTCCTTGAAACAAACATATGTGCATGTGTGCGTGCTTATAATAGAGATGGGCATATGAATACAAACTTGCAGCCATATTCTTACAACAATCATGTCAAAATGTAAGACACATGTAAACAACTGTTGACGTTTTAACGACTTTTGTGGTTTATGATTTGGTTATTATAAGTATGCATAACTGAAGTTTGACTTGTCGCATGTGGCATGCCATATAAATTGCCGTTACCTGTTGCATCACCCACATACCAAATAAGAAACTTATTATTCTTACTGAGCAATTTTTTGTTTATATTGCATGACTTGGCTATGCCAGCGTACCGGAGCGCGAGAAGCAGCACGTTTGTATGCCACTATTTCGCTTACAATTCATATTTTTGCGCAAGGAACGCTTTTTAACACGCTCAAAGCGCATAGTTAGAAACCAGCCGGAGCCAATGCTGTTGAGCTCATATAAAGCGCATATAAAAGCGGTCAATTCGATAGTCTATATAAATACGCCAAAAATATTATTAACGTAAGTGTTGTTTTCACGAATTTTAATTTTATATAGTTTTTTTTTTTTTTTTTTTGTTTTTCTGTTTTTTATTTGTTATAACTTATTACTCTATTTTCTACAATATTTCATTTATCTTCCTAACCAGCGGCAGTCACGATTGTTCGTGCCGCCTTTGGTCTCTAGGCGGTCGCTATCTGGGTACTTTGGGTACACCACTACCTTGGCTTAAGTTGTCACCTTTTGAATCTGTGGAGGAGGATCAACGTTATCGTATGCCGCCAGATATCAAGAAGGTGGCAAGTTCCACAACGATGAAGGTAATCATTTTAAATTAAAAAAATTTGCAACGCGTGTTTTTGAAAAGAATAAGAAAACAATTTAAAAGCTATAGTGTACTGAAAACTGTATGCCAGAGTCTGATGACATTTATCTAAAAACAGTATTTGCATCAGTTATTTCAGTTTTAATGGCGTTAAAATTACACTTAATTTAATAAAGTTCTTATTGCAAAATTTGCAAATTAAAAGTCATGTAGATATTTATAAAATACCCAATAATAGATTTGGAGGGTATCGGTATAGAAAAATTAAGTCTAAAAATAAGAGTTTCCATATGCTCTTGACTAAAGAGCATTTCAATTCACAATTCTAGTTTTTTTATTTTTTTTAAATGTTCACAATTATAAATTTCTAAAATATGATGTCTAAATAATATATAGCCTAATAAAATATTAATAATAACAACTTACCAATTTAAATTAATTCGTTTTCAACTCGCTGCCAAACTTTATTTCACTGTGTTGAATTGATATCAGAATTTGCGTTAAATACTAAATACACTTTTTTGAAACACTTACGTAAAATAATAATCTGTATCACATAAATTTCTTGAAACACTGCACTCTCATTTTCATGGCAGCCTCTTTGACAGCTGCATGCTTGCATACATATACCTGTCTCTTATACACATCTAGATGTGTATAAGAGACAGAAATAATAATCTGTATCACATAAATTTCTTGAAACACTGCACTCTCATTTTCATGGCAGCCTCTTTGACAGCTGCATGCTTGCATACATATACATATACATGCATGCTTACGGCTTATTACAATTGCATTGGCTTGGATTTACTTGCACACACATTTTTCATTTACACTTCACATAAATATATATACATTAAACACATTCTTAATGATTTCTTAACTCAAATTGAGTTTTAATTACACTAAACACTTCACTTTGATATTTATATTTGGCGACACATTTTGCTCATACACGTTTTCACTGCACACAGCAGCCACGAGATATTCACCATCGCACTTAATCAAATAAGCTTTTTCTTGCTTACGCACTTTCTTCTGTAATAATGTTTAAACATTTAGAACACTTATTATTTACTTTGGTAGACAAATTACACATTTTGCGTACTATTTGTAAGAATTAATTTCCACGCACGTTTTTGGACAATTATGCACAAATACTGGCGCGTTGTTTGACATTCGTTAAATCCCGTTAGCCGTACGGAAACGCAAGTAAAAAACTACAGGGTGGTGTTTATTAAAGCGGCCAAGAAAATAAAGTTAAACAATGAATTAGAGACAAATTTGAATTTAGAAAGGTGGGAAACGGAAAATAAAAATGCTGTCTATATGCATGCCACGCAAAAACAAATCGAAACAGTTTTGAAGCCTTCGTACAAACGTTAAGAAATTTATGTCCAATCAGAATTTAACTGATATGTGAGCGACTTACTGCAGATTAAAATTAATCATTAATTTAAATAATATATACGTAAATTACGTAAATAATAAAAATGTCCAAAGTGCAAATAAACAATATTTGGTGCAATCCATAATTTTATAACCATTATATTCACTTAATAACTCACAATTTGACTTGTATCAAAATCTATATCGCCCAAAGGTAATCTCTGGTGTACAAGAGGACAAACGACCTGTACGTTACGATCCAAAAGGTGCCGAGGATGAGGAAGCGGTCGAAGCAGAGGCCACAGCGCGTATGTATGGCAAGCCATTGAGGGAACCAATACTTGGCAAATATTTCTCCTTGCCCGGCAAAAGTGCTACAGAGCAACGCATCGATTTGGATACGTCGCTCTCGTATATACCGGTATTTTCACATTTACGCATACACGAAGCTGATGATATTGAGCGCCCACCCACACCTCCGGCTATACGTCGCATAAACAATGAAGACTATATGGAATTTTACGATCCAAACAAGAAGGAGCGACCAGGACAAAAGAAGCGAGACTCATGAATATTGTGTTTACATGAAGAAATGTTTTTTCAGATATTTTATAAACTTTTAAACAACTTTCATTGCGTACGATCTATTTTTATTATTTTATAAAATAAACAAAAAAAATATATATATTTTACTAATTACATGACACATAATCGTATATAACTTAAAACCTACAAACCTAAAACTTTACAGAACAAAATAATTGTGCATTTTTCATGTAACTCGTTAGACTTATATTATTACGTAACTAATCTTGCAATATAGAACAGGCATCAAACATTTGACCGGCAATATGTACATATTTAGTTGGTTCTCGCTGTGAGAGTAAATCGAAGCAATGCGTCACCAGTTTCGACAAATCAATTATATTAATTTCGCTGGCTTCGGAGGCAGATATTTGTACGGTGCCGCTGGGTGCTTCACGCTATTTGGGTGAAATTTATTATACCTTATATATATATATGAAGATATATAAATATAGTTGTACATACCAGTCTATCGAGGTAGTGCAGCAGCTGTTGACCCACCGAAGCTATTTTCAAGTAAGCATCACGTGATCTGTTTGCTACCAAATTCAAGCGTTTACCAGCCACCTCAAGCAGCAAACGCGGAAGATGTTCATCATCACGTAACTGTTTTAAAAGCACTTCACCCTGCGCATCGTAAGAATGCGCGTACATTTCCACCGCCTAAAATAAACAAAAAAAAATGTGTTATTGTTTCCATTTTTTCTTATATTTACTTACCTGTTGACGTATAAGCGCTGTCTTCTTCAATTTCCAACGTTCAGCCAAGCCCATAACCTTCGCCATGAACTCCATGTGCTCCTGCGTGTACAGTTGTTCCAGATCCTCGCGTATCAAATCCATTGAGGCACTTATAGCCTTGCATAGAAAATGCTCACGTTGTTGTTGCAATACTAAATCCGCTTCTGGCAGTTCATAGGGCAATTCCTTGTTAATATCGGTGAAGAACGCCTTATTTGCCATGGCATCGAATACGTTCGTAATGGGTTTAGGCATTTTTAACTGCAGCGAGGAAATTAGGTGTAACACAGCGCAAAGCTCATAATGCAACTGTAGTAATTCCTCAATAGCATTGTGTTGTTGCAGTGCCAGGTACTGTAAGGGCAGCGGACCCTCGGTTAACGATTCCTCGAATTTCAATTCACGACTGTCGTGCTCCAGTGAGCTAATGAAATGTTCCAAAAATTGTAAACATAATTCTAGGAAATTGGGCACCAAAGCCGCTGACATTTCAATGTCTTGTTGACACATTTTATCTTTTGGCAAGCGACCCGCCTTTTGTATCAGCTTCATAGTCGATTGCAGTGGATACTTCAGTGCGGCATTCCAAAGCATACAACAGATGCCATGCTTGAGCGCATAATCTTCCGGCTTGAATTGGCTCAGGCAAGCGAGTGATGCACGCATATACTCCAAAAGCGTCAGGTTTTTGCTCCAATGCACCATATAATGCCACGACATAAGACTGAGTAGCATGCCGGGTTCCAAACTGAATGGAAAGTGTTCGCGTAAGAGCAGTAACTTCGTAAGCACTGGGTCGACGGCAATATCCTCAGCATTCTCATTGCTGGCTAAGCATTGGTCAACATCGCCGCTGTCAATTGGTGTCGCAGCTGCATTGTCTGCTGTCACTTCTTTATTTGTCGGTGTTTGAGAGCTTTCTTGTGCATTACTTTCCTCTACTTCCAATTCGGTTGGCACAATTTTCATTGGATGTATACGTGAATTAATTAACCATTTGGCCGTAAGATCAGTGACGATACCTTTGCCGCCGTTGACAATGTATTTCAAACTGCAATCTGGCGCTTCATAAGGCAGTTCGGGCATAACGGGTTCACTACATTGAATTGGATGCCTGTTGGAAACGCAAGCACTTTAGTTATTTTGCAAACAAAATAATATTTGACTACTTACTCCACTGTGGCGCCTAGTATTGAGATATCCTCCAATTTGCCTATGAGTAAACCCCATTGTGCTTGATCGTGTGAGATTTGCTCCCATTTGTCCTCCTCTTCTGTCTGTGAACCTTCATCACAGGAGCCCTATGGAATAGAAAAAGCCATTGTCTATATAGAAAGTTTTTAAATACTATTTGTGATACCTCTCTGTATCCGCGACGTAGTTTGGCTGCAACTGACTTGCAAACGATTGCCGCTAGTAAACCAAACGATTTTGGACAATCCAAGAGTATTTCGCGTATATCTTGCCACCATTGGGAAATTTCATTATAAGCATAGTCGTTTACCCGGTCGCCAGCAACCTCGCAAATCGCCCTTATCATGGCTGCCAAACGTGACATATCCGCAATAACTTCATCACTGACAAGATAAAAGTGTTTTGTAGAATTGGAAGGCGTATTATCATATTTAAATAATATAATATTACCAGTTCTGGTAACGAAAAGGTTTATCCATCCAAAAGTGTAGCGCTAATATCAACAAATCTTCGGCAGGTATCTTCGCTTTGACAGTTGCCGCCTTCAACTCCTCGAAGCAAAGACCGCATGCAAAGAATTCTTTGAAAAGCTGACCACTGATGTAACCAAAACTATCGATTTTTTCACGCAATAACGTTAGCTTATCATTAGCATCCACTTTGAATATGCTCAAAAAGTCAACAAAGTCGCCATCTTCTTGACACTGCTCTTGGAATGTGACTTTCCCGCTGAGTTGTGCGCCCGCTTTGTTTTCGTTGGGGCTCGATTCTGCATATTTGTCGCCAAGCAGCAATATGATTTGATTTATGGTGACCAAATCGCAGTCGTCCAGCTCTAAGTAATCATCAAATTCAACCTCAGTCGGTCGCTTTATGGTTACATAAAACTCTGCGAGCCGTTGGTAGTTGTCTACTATGGTTTTAAAATGTTCATGCTCTGCATTCGCTTCACTTTGGTCGTCATCGGTGGTTTCCGACAGCAAGGTATCGGCGAATGCGCTCATAATTTTATGAAATACTTGCGGTTTTAATTGCTTATTCTTCTTCAACATGTCCAAGCATTGCTGGCGTACTTCAATCGTTTGAAAGTCAGCTGATATTTTGACAATTTCCTCGATATTGGCAGTACTATCCAAATTACGCAAGAGATTCTTTAGACGCCGGAACAAATGTATGTCTCGTGAGGTTTTAGAGTTTGTCTCACTTAAGGCGAAATGAAAGGGTATTTGCACCTCTTTTACGCTGGCGTCGCTGGGGTCTAGGAACAGACAATAATTCGGCGTAGATGATTTTACCTTCAAACCGGGTGTGACACCTAAAAGAGAAAAAATATCAAAAAATTATACACAT